ATCGTCGGCCGTATAAGGTAGGTACGCGACCTGCGAGATTAGATGTCGGATGATTTCACATATCGGCAGTATCGGCAACTGCAATAAAGCGGTGCCGCCACCTCGTAAAACGACGGTGCCTATCTGCACTTCGAGTATCTAACTTCGCTCACTGCCAATCCCTACGTAATTGGGAAATGCAAATGCGTTCCCGTGCAACGCCTAGACGTTTTTACTGCTCTAGAAAAGAGTTAATATCGTTCCACGTAATTGCTGAGCTTGGAACGATTTAATTTCATTCTTATTTTATTAACTTACCTATTCCTTACCTTTTTTGCCGCCAAGCAGTATTGTGACCATTATTGCGTTTCGGTTTTAAAGGGTAAGGGGTGCTGAAGAAATTACAGGCACACTTATGTCCCAGGGTAGCGGGCGCAGTGGCAGTGCCACTCAGATCTTTGCGATTTAAAGATCTGAGCGGCACTGCAACTGTTATGAACAGGCGCTAGGCGTGTCGCTTACCACCAGACGCACCACTTGTCCGTCCCGTCACTTGCTTAACATAAACAAAAAAAACTAAATCCATTTATAAATTTTGGTAAGTTTATGGACACCTTTATACAGTTAAAAATTTCTAGACAATTTCAATCCAGGCAATTTGCTTCAGATCTAGCTTTAAACACAAGCTCAACGTTTAAAGTTCCAATAACTTAGCCTATTTACTAGAACTAGATCTTGTTTGCGATTGTGTTCAGTGAGACCGGAGAATTACGTGTGTCCAAGTAGTCAATATTGGTACTTCATTTTGGTTTTTGTGGCAAAATCTTTGCAATCAGTGGTCTACCGATTGCAAAGAATTAGGATCCTAGTTCCGTTAGTTACTAGTTGTGTTATAAACAAATATTTTAATTAATTCCAAAGTTGTCGTAGTGTCCACACATAATAATGCATACATTTGAGGCTGTCAATTTAAACCTAACTACCTACTTGGTTCCGTAGACAGCAAGGCAGAGCAGAAGCGCCCCTCCCATCCCCTAATCGCAGATAAATGAATTACGTCGGCCCGCCATCCATCACTGTCGGTAATTTTAAGATAAAAGCCATAATGCGCGTAGGTTGCTCTCTTCGACAACATGTTGTTGCCAATGGATCTATACTAAAGATTTTAATTGAGTTTTGTGACATAAAGCCATACTGCTGTGCCCTAAGGAACTTCAAAAGCGTCTAAGTATACGTGATTGTCGCTGATTACGTTACATGTTTTTATATAAGTAACACTTCTTGATATCGTATCGATGGCGTTCTTATTAAGTGGTGACCACAGATAGTCGTACAGTTTGAAGTGTCTTGGAATGGTATATTTAAATTAAGTTGTTCACATAATATACTAAGTACCTACAACACGATTGATTGTCGTTCACGACTATTTTGATGTTACGACGGGTTACCTATAATAAGTCCGAAATGACGTTTTCCAGAAACAACGTTTGCTCGAATTTTCATAACCTCTAAAGTAACTTTGAGAGGAAAATGTTTTTTCTTTAAAAACCTAACTTAACCTAACCGAACCTAAAAGTGTCTTTGCGATAAACAACCAACATATCCTGAGAGAACAACGTTTCTGTTATAATTCGGTTTACGGGTTAATGAAAATTCGATCAAACGTTATTTCGGAAAAAATAAATTCGAGTTTGTGATAGGTTACCGTTACGACGACAGACTGTCAAGACAATAGGAAGAGCTAGAACGTCAGTCGTCCGACAATAAATAAAACGCCACGATAAAAATGCGACGACAGGTAATCGCAGCTACTCCTGTCGTCACGTTTTATTTCTTGTTGTCTCATATATGCACACGACAAGGCGGTTGTCGAGAAACGATAAATTGTCGTCACGGTCCTGTGGGAACAGCTAGGCATGACAGTCGGTCAACGATAAGTCCACGACAAAGTCACGACAGATAGTTGTGATATGGGAACAGTCTAAATAAATAAAACGTTACGACATAATAGGAACGCGCCCTTATACGTGCCATCGCTGTGAAAGGATTTGCCAATCGACATAAGGTGCTCGCCGACTGTTGCTCAGAGTGCGCCAGATATACAGGTGTGAGGAGGCTCCTTTAGTGCACCCCCTATGTAGCACGTTTTTTAATTTTATTTATGATACCAAGTGGCATGGCGAACAAGTCTTGCGCCTCTGAGTTTCCCGGAATGTACGGTCAACAGCACATCAGACTACACATTTTTGTTCAAGTTTGAACAAGATACGTCAATGTGTAGCTGATGTGCTGGCGAGTGTAAGTGCGAAATTTTAATTTGAAATTTACCATGTGCTTTTCGGTGAAGGAAAACATCGAACCAGTCATGCGCCTGATGGTAGGCGACACGCCAGTTGCAGTGCCACTTAGAGCTTTAAATCGAAAACATTTGAGGGGCACCGCCACTGCACCCGTCATTCCGAGATATAGATATAGACATAATTAGGCAAGTCCCATGTGCCTGTAATTTTTATGTGACTAAATACTATTTATAATTTTGGTGTCAATTACGACGAGTTGAACTATCTTAGACTGAGGCATCCTAACAATCCTGATTGCAACTTTAGAGTTCCGACATAATTGATCGAGTTATCAACGCTTACGACTATAATACACCACACGTTATTAAATGTAGTAGTTTGATTGGTTTCAATCTCATTACAACGATTTATCATACTATATACTCACATAATACATACATACACAATAAAATTATTTTCATCATCATCATCATCAACCTATTTATAGGTCCCAGTGGTGGTCACGGGTCTCCTTTCAGGCGTAAAATACTTTACTTATTGAACACGTTTAAATTGTAGAAAACTATAGTTAGTTACTTCTTTCCGACTGCGCCCTTATCGACATCGCCGGTTCAATTATATTCATTGAATGCCAATTTCCCTGCGAAAATGGACTCTCCTTAAGTTTTTAATTTCAACAGGCACATAAATCAATTTCGTGACAAAAGCGTTCTACTGTTGATGACACAGTTGAATTTTAATAAGATAAAAGAATACGAAAAAACGTGCACCCGTGCCGATATTAAATTGAACGGAAACTTGAAAAGCTCACGTGCGCTACTTGCCTCTCCACCTTTCAACGTATTTTGTTTGCAGATGCACCTATTGAAATGGTAAGTTATAGCTGCATGGAAAATATTTTCAGAGGCGGGTCGTATCGAACAATGCTGTGTGGAAGGCATTACATTTTCCAAGATGTTGCAAGCTCGGATTGTATTTCTTCTGAATTGCTCTTCGTTACGTATTAGTGCCCCGAGCTAAAGTGGATATAGTGTAGTGCTTCGTGCTCTAATTGTCTAACAACCCTAGTGCTCCAAGAGAATTAACCAAGTCTTAAGTTTGTTTTATGTCGCTCTCAGTTATTAAGGTGCCTAGAGACGGAACACCGGCCAAATCTTGTTATAGTTAAATCCACGAATTCATGAATACGGAGGCTACACTTTAGAGGTATCACATTAGTTTCGGGTATCTACGTTCATGAACTTCGCAAAAGATATTCATCAAGTTCCCAGCGCATAGCGAGTGGCGTCAGTTTCTTGAACCTAAGAAGGTTGCTCACATTTAACTTTCATTTCAAAGGCAAAGTTTTGTGATAGCTTATGCTTAATTATACTTAACAGTAAATACTAAATACGATAAATCTCAGAAGAACTATTTTTATAAAGTACTAATTGGTGCCCGCGACTTCGTCTGCGTAGAATAAGTACTACGAGTAGTCAATGTATGAACGTCTAATGTTTGCAATGCAAAATACACTCTTCGGGGTCTATACAACCTTAAATGGATTTGGTTGATTCCGCATAACAGTGCAAGGGTTGAATCAATTACTTTGGAAAAAATATAGAAAAATTGAGGATATGCAGTGATACTATATGGTGTGAAAAACACGAAATAAACTTACCTCGAAATTTTACAAGAAATCCGCTGTATTCAATAGGTATTTTACATATGATTTTTTTTATATCAACTGAACTAAATAGAACACGCATACTATACGGTATACATTTTTCAAATGGCTTTAATTTCGTTTGTACAAAAATAAATTCTGAAATACAGCCAGTAGTGTACTTGCCGGTCGACCCAAGCAAAATGAGCCGTATTAGTACGGGAAATATTTGAATTCGAGCCGAGTTAGTATCGACTTTTGTGCATTGTGTTAAGAGTGTCTTATCAATTTAAGCATTGGTTTAAAACGTACTTAAGTTTAATAATAAATAATAACGCGCACACTCAGTCCCGCACTAGTGACGCCCTGTATCGTGGGTGCCATGGAACACACACACACAGACAACCATAAATTACACTCAAACTCACAAGAGAAATAAATGTAGGCACACAAATATTTCTCCATGCCCGGGAATCGAACCCAGGCTCTCTGTGTGGCAGCCTAGTATGGTAACCGTTCGGCCACAGAGGCAGTTAAGCAAGTGGATATAATTTTCATAGTTTTATTGGTTCTCCATACAAATTTTCATCTCCTACCTATTTAACCCACTGTAAAATTTATTTTTGTGGCAAATAGTAGCCTATGTCCTTCTAGATTTCATCTATCTCCATCTATACTAAAATTCAACAGAAAACAGAAGAGAAAACGAAACATAGTGTTACTTTCGCATTTATAATATCAGTTTGGATAAAAATAATTACACAGTAATTAGTTTCAAATCATTTAATAAAATAATTAATGTATCAATTTCTTATAAAGAACACATTTTTCAAGAGCAGTCATTTGCTGTATCGTTTAAAATTCGAAATTAAAACCTAATATTCAATGACGAGTATCGGAATGGAGAACTTAATTATTGCCAATAAGAACACAACCGTACAATATGTTCGCCAAATAACAATGACGAATAAACACCACAATAACATCTCAGAACAATAAGAGCTCGCTTCTAAAACTGTAAGGCCATTTGCTACGTAACACATTCACGAGCATCCGAAATTTACAATAAACATTCGAATTCAGAAAGCATTTAAAACAATTATTATACAAAATAATAATATAGTAAATATTTACTATGAAACATTATATTGTAATTAAATCTATATTCAAATATTAATTTAGTAATATATTTTCTGTACTTTTCAATCTATGTTTCATCAGAAAAAACTGACGTGGCCATAAGTACCGACACCTAATACAACAAAGAGATAACCCTATCTGTATTGATTTATTGATTTCATTTACAAATATGCCCTTCACTTACAAAGTTACCTTTCACATAAATCGACGCATATCAAAATATATACCAAATATTTTTATACACCACCACTGTCGTTCTTTACTGATATTTTTTATTTTTTGAAAAATAGCGATAATATTTAATGTAAACATGTATTAAAAAGTTCTTAACGGCTAGAGAACGGTAACTTTGCTAATGCAAAAAAAAAATACAATGAAATGTATGTTCAATGGTTATACTTAAAACAAAGGACTAGCATTACAATCTACTGTCAAAATATGCACTTGGCTGGTTTCAGAGTGACGAGCACGGCACGCGGTTAACACGCGCGTGAAACCAGTCTCGTATATATTAAATAACACTTTGAAATTGTGTGACACAGTTCTCCTATGGCACAAAAAGACGTAGAAAGGGTCAAAATAACACTTTTTGAATATGAAAATACAACACTTGAATTGCATCAGGTACTTTACATTGTAATGTAATAAACAAACCTAAAATAAATGGATACAATTGTGGTATGAGCAGAACAATTTCAAATTAAAGGCGTGTGTTGTTTGTGGTAAAATAATATCTAATAATATATTGCCATTCTTTCGTTTAGATCGAAAGTTTATTTTCATTTTAATGAAACCAAACTATAGATGGGGCAATTATGAACACATTAACAATGCAATGTATAATCTAACAAATAGCACCTGGACTAGGCGGGTTAACATCCCGCCGACCGTTACTGCGTAGTCGTAAATTAACTAAGGAATAACACGATTCAGGCAAGCGTGATCAATGCAACCGCTCCGCTGGGACCACAGAACCATTTACTACACATAATAATAAAAAAACTAAATCAAATTCAGTCCTCAATACCTCGACAGAACATTTAAGTAACAATATCACTCTTTGAAAGTTTTATATTACAAGAATCGATAGACATAGATATATTTCAACAAAGATACTTTCACATTGAAACACTTGATAAAACAACGTTGCGTATCGCGCGACCTACGTCCAGAGTTTACAACTTTTGGACAATTTATCACGGTCCCTTAGACCTCGTCAAGGTATCGTGATTACACAGACTTTGATAAATCCTTGGGGTAGTTTCTTTCGTTCCAACCTCAGAGGTTGTGAGATATGCTATCCGTTCGAGGAGAGTTCGTCTTTTAACCATTGCGGTACGGCGCGGCCAAGCTTTACCAGCAGTTTGGACAGCGCCGTGTTGTGTGGCGTATAATACCTTTTTAAAAATTTGGCGGACTGCTCTTCCATAGGCGGGTAGACCCGGCCTTTAGATTTACCTAGACACTTTGTCCGTTCATTGCTCACTGCCTGGCAGAAGAAACCTTTTTTGGGATCGTACCTGGGAAAGATAATGTTTTCAGATATTTCTTTCAACTGAGTACGAACCCTTGGTATAATAGAGCCACATCACCTGAACGTCATAAAAATAATACGAACTACATGAACCAATAACTTGTTACATTGTATAACTCTCCCATTTAGGCAGAGCGGGGTTTCTAACACAAGTAAGTCGCCCCCACACTGTGATACTGTAATTATTTTATCTAGTAAATAAATGCTTAATTTATTTTGGCATAAAAAGTTATCGCCTAATTTTGTTCGTAAAGATTCGTAGTAAGTAAAGATTCTTACTTGAAAAGTTATCATTTTGCAGATGTGGCTTTATTACACTAAGGGTGCGAGTATGAGAATTTCTTTAAACATTGCATTAATATAAATGACGAAAGTATGAGAAATTAAATTTAAACAATGTACCTTAGAAATATCTAGAAAAGTAGTCACTTACTTGAGTAGTTTGTTATAGTCAATATGAGGAGTGAGCTTGAGGAACTTCTGCAGCGAGTTCATTACGGTGGCGGGCTCCGATCGTAGTAAAGATCCATCCATTACATACAGCTGGTGGGCGCTGTACTCTGCCAGCCATCGCTCCAGGTAGTGACTGTATTTGCCCGGGTTCAAGCATCGGTTCCTGTACAAAGATATCTTCTTTTTAAAAATAGTGTTAGTTGTAAGACGTTTTGTACTTACAATAAACTTCTACCGCTCTGATCAACATAAATTTTCCATCCGACTTATTGTAGTGTTACAGTTAGTACGTGTGTTGCAGTATTTTGGTTGATTTTTATTTTCATCATTAACCGACTTCAAAAAGGAGGAGATTCTCAATTCGACTGTATGTTTATTTTTTGTATGTATGTTACGCGGTAACTCTTTTGTGAACCGATTTTGATGATTCTTTTTTTGTTGGGAAGAGGGTACCCCAGTAGTTGTCCCATCTAAATTTGAAAAAAATATTCCACCTTTAAGTGTGACAAATTAGGGGATGAATGACTTTTCAGGTTGGTTTTTTTATATTATATCAAGTGACGGGACGAACAAGTCGTGCGCCTGGTGGTAAGCGACACGCCTGACCGTAGCAGTTGCAGAGCTACTCAGAGCTTTAAATTGTAAAGATCTAAGAGGCACTGCCACTGCGCCCATCACCTTGAGACAAAGATGACAAGCCTCATGTGTTTGTAATTTCACCAGCACCTTTAGAGCAACGCCACACGTCGTTCACCTGAGTGGCAATGCTAAGCTGTACTACATATAAATTAGGCCTAGATGCTACATGGTGCGTTGAAACGGACAAGGGACCAGAAGACGAAGCGGGGAGGGGTGTTGCGGTGCGTACGTAAGCGGCGTTATGTTGCAACACCTCGTTATCAGGTGTCTATCGGTAGAAAATGTGTTAATTGTTCGTACCTATTTCTGCCTCCAAGCAGTAATGTGAACATTACTCCGTTCCTTTTTCGTAGGGTAAGGGTGCTGGCGGAATTACAGGCACATGAGACTTATCAACTGATGTCTCAGGGTTTCGGGTTCAGTGGCAGTGACCCTCAGATCTTTGTGATTAAAGCTCTGAGTGGCACTGCAATTGTTAGGGACAGGTGTGTCGCTTGCCACCAGGCACACGACTTATTCGTCCCATCATTTAGTATTATAAAACATTGCACATTGCGCCTGGGTGGCAGACTATGGCCTAAACTTAAAGTAGGAAATGATGACCTAAATTTGAAGCTATTATTATTCGAGTTATTTTACAACAACGACATTCTTTAGTTGCACCCTCCTTTCCAACTTTTAATATACTATCCTAAGAATGCCTGGAAGAAATTGCTACTTATCAATAAGACCGCCTGTTGTGATGTCTGCATTGTCGTTGTAATTTTTCAATGTGCAATAAAGAATGTTTCATTAATTAATTAATTTATTCAATAAATAAATAATAGATACTGTACTGCCTTTTCGCTAATCTCTACATAAAAGCTTTACAATACCTTTGTTTCCCAATAACAATAAAGTTTGAAAGTTTCCGAATTCCGTAATCCGCATGTCAAAGGAAAGCTCGCTCAACAGAATAAACGCCCATTAATTCTCACATACATACTTTCTCAACTCCTCTACTACTCTTTGTAAATTCCATACCCTAGCTGCTAATCTACACTTCAAAACCCCCCATTAGCAATGAGGTTCAGCGCTTTATTAAGATGTCGATCGATTGGATAAACTCTGTAGCTTGGATGAACTGAGTGCGTCATGTACTTAGGTTTTAAATTCGTCACAGATTACACTTCATCTCATGAATGAAAGAATTCTTTATTGCACATAAAATACAGTTAAAGTACAATATAGTTACTTAAGTATATAGATAGTAAGTTAATGTGAAACAGGCGGTCTTACTGCTATGTAGAAATTTCTTCCAGGCAACCTTAGGATAGAAATTTGGAACATCTTAAATGAATAAGCAAATCTGCATGATGATAATAATAGATTTAGCATAAACTATTTTTAACAATTTTGATTATTATGCATGTAAGGAAACGTAAATCAGTACAGACCCTTAAAAAGCAATATCAATGCCTTACTTTCTCAAAGTTGTACCTTATAAAGAATGATCATTCTGGTGATGGCAAAACTTTCTATTTATTTTAAATTTCTTATCAATTTTGATGCATTACTTTAAGAATAAGTAAAAGCCAGTGTGTGAATATGAAGGAAATGTGATGTGAAATCAGCCTGTAAAATTTGTATATACAATCCATTTTTGACATTTCAGTAACTTTGTGTTTTAAGACACGAGTTTGAGAAAGACGACGATATGCTGGTAGAGATGGAAAAAAACTACTTATTAATTTTAAACGTTTAAACGTACATTTTCAATAATGCGTGCTCATTAAAGCGCTTTTCATTTAAACGCTTTTTAATTTGAAGCGTAGAAAATCGTTTAGAAAAACGAATGAAAAAAGCTTGCAACATTGTATTGACAGCGAAAAGCAAGAGTAGGCCCACAAACTTACTAGGGATTCTAACGGAAGTAGGCCACTAAAGGTTTTAAGATCAGACATTTACTTTTACATAATATAACATTATTTCCAGATTGACGAATTAATTTGTTTACATGGCGGGAGTTGACACTTAGTCAATATGTCAATGTTTCCTACTTTTCTACTGCTTACGTTGTAAAACGAAATTGTTTAGTATTGAACTCAGCAACGCTTACAACTTTAAATTAAAGCGGGCTTGTGTGCTTATATTAAAAAGCATAGTTTGTAAAGCGCTTTTCGTTTAAATGCCCACCTCTGAAACATGTATTGACTAACTATTCATTATCCATGTCAGCATTATAAAATCTAAGTAGTATAAAACGTTTTCCCCGAATTAACGGTTTCATTTAAAACATAATACTATCAGACCATTTTATAACTGGAAATATTGTCTAATGAGAAGGTAATGACGTAGCATAAATCTGGACAAAACTATACCACGAAATACCTGTACACCTCGACTAAATGCCTCGTATAACGTTACACATTTTCAGTTATTCTCATAATTTTTACTTATTTTAAATATCAATTTATATTTTAATGCTTTTAAAATGTTATTTTTCACAGGTTCACTGTATTGTAGAGATTGCGTAGAGGTCTTTGCAAGTCTTTCATAAAGTTATGTTTGGATTACTTATCACTTTCGACGAACCATTTTCAAAGTTATTAAGTGTTTTGAATAAATTATTAATGGTTAATATGTATATATTTGTTTTTATAACAAGCAAGTGACGGAACGGCACGGGGACGGCAAGTCGTGCGCCTGGTAAGGGACACGCCTATCCATAACAGTTGCAGTGCCATCCAGAACTTTAAATCGCAAAGATCTTATGGGCACTGCCACTGCGCCCGTCTCCCTGTGACATAATATGTTGACAACTCCCATGTGGCTGTAATTTTACTAGCACCCTTACTCTTCTGAACTGGAACGCAGTAATGCTCACATTACTGCTTGGCGGCAGACATAGGTAAGGTGGCAGTATTTCCCTGGACGAACTTTTTACAAGGAGCTCTACTGGTACTGATACTAAAATAATAACCACACTTATAAACACAATACCGCGTCGTGGCTAATTATAACTGGATAAAGGACGACTCAAATCATATATAGATGAATGGCTTTAAAGATGGACGTAGTTCTGATGAAAGTTGGCGACGTCCACGCGTTTAATATAACTATCGTAAATGTAGTATTAATTAATATAATAATAACACACACACTCAACATAGACCCGCACTAGGGAAACCCTGTGTCGCGGGTGCCATGGACACACACATAGACAACCACAAATTACATCCAAACTCACGAGAGAAATAAATGTAAGCCATACAAATATTTCTCCCGGCCCGGGAATCGAACCTGGGACCTCCGCGTGGCAGTCCGGCATGGTAACCGTTCGGCCACGGAGGCAGTTAAAACAGTTAAAAAGTTAAAGTTCTTTAAAACACCTTACGCATTCGCAAATGTAGTATTAATTAATATCTATAAAACACCTTAAGCATAATGTGCCCGACTACGTGAATTATCAAGTCTCAAACTATGCAATTTGAGTACCAAAACAACGGAATTCAATCCGGGGCACTATTAATTTAGAAAAGTTATTTTCCCCGAATTGTCATCAGGTATAGGGCAAAACGTTGAGCCACCGAGGTAGTGAATACAGATTATATTTATAGTTAATGGGAACGCGTAAAAAGCTTTCACAGAGCACGTATCGCGTTTGATAATTCACAACGAGCTGTCAAGCGCACGACTTGCCTACAGTTTTTTTTATATTTCTGAATGTTTTTGTTTGTGCTCCTTTGCGCAAGTATAACACGCATAACTGTATTTATTTTTGTACGCATCAATAGTAACATTTAAATACGAGCGAATTGTATATTTTATTCATAGGCTTACAAGTTACTTTGTGATCCTGAACTACGGTAAGTTGATTTTATAACTCCGTGGCCGAACGGTTACCATGCTGAACTGCCACTCAGAGGTCCCGGGTTCGATGCTCGGGCCGGGAGGAATATTTGTATGACCTACATTTATTTATCTCTCGTGACTTTGGGTGTAATTTGTGGTTGTCTATGTGTGTGTCCATGGCACCGTGATACAGGGTTTCCCTTGTGCGGGGCTATGAGCGTGTACGCGTTATTATTATTATGATATTATTATCATTTTTGTCATCAATACTCGTGTTGTTAGTAGAAGAATTTGTTCCTCCCAACGGTCCAAACTGAACAGTAGGACTTTAATCATCTACATAATGGTACGAAAATAAAAACAATATGTCATCTGCTACAAAAATACATCACTGAGTTCCGATTTTATTATACTTCGATCTTTTACTTGACTCTTCGTTCTTTCTCGAATGACTGATATCGGCGAATAATTATAAGTAATAAATATAGGCTATATAAATAGTACAACAATATGTCTCCTTTTATCACAACAAAATACAAAAAAAATGTTTTTTTTAGTTAGTTCTCATAGCCCTAGCGTAATTTTTGGAAATAAACTACCTATTCATTTCATTGATCGATTTCTAATAGACTGGGGTGAGTCGGCTACTCTGGGTTTAAGTGGTATTAACTCTCACATAACTAACACTCTCCATTAAAGTACTGGACGAACTGAAGTTGCATAAAAACGATACGCTAGGTAATTTTCAGGTTAGTTTTTTCTACCTAATTTCGGTGCCAAAGAACAATGGCGAACTCCCATACACATTTTTGTTGATATAATTTGTATGCGTCTGTTTATGGAAAATATATTGTGGATAATATAGGGATTAAATTTTTGAACAAATTTGGTTTTGAGTTTATTACTCTGAGAAGTCTGGAAATAAAAATATTCTAGTTTCATGTTTTGGAGGTTATGTTTACGTAATCGAATAATATAAATGCGGTTGATCATTGTACAAAAATGAACTACAGAAGCCTTAAACAGAGTTAATAGAAGTGGATTGGTGTCGTGGGTTTGTGATGTGGCGGAAATTCAGAAGAATTTTTTTTTTATAATGGTATGGTCAAAAGGCATGAAGTTAAGCCATAACAAAAGAAAACTGAGTTACATACGTAAGGAGTACTATAAGTTTCCGGAATGAATAAGAAAAAAATACTATAAATGGTTCGAAATGAATTTATTGTTTCTCAAAATATTCTCCGTTAGCGTTAATGCACTTTTTCATACGAATGACCAATTTTGAAAACATTTATGCCACTCCTCCGTGACAATCTCTGAAACATATTTTTCATACTCTTCGACAGTCTCTTCAGGTCATGAAAATCGTCGACCTCGTAACTGGTTCTTAATTTTTGGAAATAAATAAAACTCACAAGGTGCCAGGTAGGAACTGTACGCAGGATGGCTCATAAAACCAACATTGTTTACCTTCAAAAATTCATTTGTCTGTCTGGCCGTGCGAGGAAAGGCATTATCGTGATGCAAGATGATACGGCGTTTACGGAGTTTGTCAATAACTTCCGACAAACAAATGGTCATGTACCAATTACTATTCACGGTACAACGATTGTCCAAAGCAACAGTAGCCACGTGTCCAGTTTTATTAAAAAAGAAGCAATCATCCGCTTAGCGGCACTTTGTACGCGCGTCACTTCGATTGGTTTCGGCTCATCTCGAAAGACCCATACGCTCGATTGCGGCTTTGTTTTGGGATCATAACTATAAATCCATGTTTCGCCTGTTACTATGTCTCAAACCAAATTTGACGCCCTTTCGTTGAATCTGGTAAGCATGGCATTGCACCAAGTGACGCGATCCGTTTTTTGAGCTTCATTAAAATTGTGTGGGATCCATCGAGAGCACAGTTTTTTCACACCCAAATGTTTGTGTAGTATTGATTGCATTTGACTCATGCCTATGCCTAAAGATCTCATGGTATGTCACATGCCTGTTTGTTTTGATCATACAGCGCACAGTATCGATGTTTTTGTTCTTCACAGCAGTGGACGTGCGACCATAACGGAATTCGTCACTGAGATTCAAACGACCGCGTTTGATTTCTGCAAACCACTTATGAATAAATAGTCGTCTTGCATGGTGTTTCATTGCCAAAAGCAGTTTGAAGCCGAGCGAAGCTCCGCTGAGCATTTAAATTACACTTAAAGTCGTAGAAAATCATACTACGAAAATTTTCACCAATTAAATCCATAGTGATGTAGTCAACCAATTTCTAAAATTACGCCATAATGTAAAAACAAGTGACAGTCAGATGAAACAAACTGTATTCTACAGATAAAGAATTCCATTTTCAAATGTTGTAATTACTTTTTAAATATTGTTTATGTAAGTGGCCAGTTCCGGAAACTTATAGTGCGCCCTATTTTGTGAAGCATTTTTTTACGCACAGTCATACAAATTGTCATAAAAAAGTCATACAGCCAATTACACCCAAACTCACGAGACAAAGAAATTTAAGCATTACAAACATTTCTTCCGGCACGGGAATCGGACCCGGGACCTTTGTGTGGCAGACCAGCATGGTAACCGTTCAGCCACGGAAGCAGTTAATCTTGTAGTCAACCTGATTTCGCCATTGTTTATTATTATTTGAGTTTCGAGTACATTATCGTGGAATAATAATAGTACATTATCGTGGAATAATAATAGTAGTTTATGTGACTGTTACATAATGAAAGGCATCAAAATACGTGTGTGGGTTTATGAAACGAGCCGACAGGCGAGTGTTTTAATGCCTAATTATGTACAGTTACATACACTGCTTCATCTACACATATATTATAAGCTCTCTGTGATGTGTTCAGGAACCGCATTTTACGACTGGCGAAATGGCGGCAAATAAAAACTTTTGTCACGCATGTCACACAACCGTAGTTTTTATTTAATTCAAAGACAAACTAGAGTCGGCCTCAACTATCATATTGTTCGATATCTAGTAACGTGTGAAATTTGTCAAAATTGTTTGCTATTGACGTTTCATTCTGAATACAACTTCGTCTCGACTGATATCACAATTGAGGCCGAATCAAATTGTTTTGCTTTTCGGAGAAATTTGATGTTCGAAATTTGAATGTAATAATAACATTCTCGTAGATAAGAAATTTGTTCTAACAAAACAGTAAATCTTTATGCTGGTCGTAATTTACGGTTTTTGAACACATCATAGAGGGTTTATGATATGTGTGTAGATAAATAATTTTTCATGATATTACAATCGAATATTAAAATACTTCATGTTCATATACTAGAATATTCAAACAATAAAAATTACCACCGATATTAGGTAGAGAAAACTAATCTGAAATTATCCTTCTCCTGAAATTATTACTTAATATGTAAGTATAATGTATGTATGTATAATGTAAGATATTATCTTACATATTAAATACATATTAAATAAGTTTTCTCGTCGTTTGTTTTAGTCATTACTTCTGTTTTACATTTTATAGAAGTTGCAGACTTACCTTAAATCCCGTAGCGGTTTGGGCGCAGAGTCGTTGGCAGTTATGACCGTGTGGAAACTGTAGTTATTGGCCACTGGATCGCCGTGCGACCTTATGTGCTGGTACCACGAGTATGCCCTGTGTTACAATAAACGTAAAATTCAATTTTGTTTGTTTTTGTTAATGCTTTCTTTAGCTAATGGCTGACAAACAAAAGTTACAAGTATAAAATAGTATTTAAATATTCCGTGAAGAGCATATTATTCCACTTTTAATTTCTCTGTGACGATTTGTAAAGAAAGATTTTTTCTCAACACTAAAAATATTTAATAATAATAAGAAATTTAGTACAATTCACGTAGTAAATCTAAGATATAACAAATAAACGTTGAATTGTATGGTCTGTAGAACAAAAGAAGCAGGAACATCTCGATCGACTGAATCAAGCGGGACAAGAAATTCCGTCAGGCATTGAATATGCTAATTCGAATCAACTTCTGACATTGATTTAGATGTAAATGATGAAAGGACTTGACCTTCCTTTGGGAAGCAAATATTTGCCATAACTTTACTTTGATTACGATTACAAAATCAATTTGAATTTTAAATTTTAGTGCAGCTGATGTTTGTACACAATTTCATCTGACGAAGAGATTATGAACAAAAAACTGCACTCTGCACACAAAACTAATAAGCAAATAGATTGTAATTCCACGCACTTTTGAGGTCGGTTTTTTTTTCGGATATAAATCGTGTGCATTTCTTTCATTTTTTTTTCAATCATACTAACCTTTTGGGTTCTTTACACATCCCATGGTCACGACTGACTCCGGAGTCTAACGTGATTTAAATCTGAATAAATAGTTTTAATTGAAATAGGTAGCTATCGCCAAACCCATAATTTTAAATGTCAATCTCCCATTCCAATTTCATTAGCACTGGAAGTGATAATGAAATTTGTTGAATTAATGCTTTGGAATAAGGATTTAGTATTAGGACAAGATTATGAGTGCCTGTCGTTAAATATCATTCCATTCATTCACTCTATCTCTGTCGACGACGTGAATTATTGTATATAAATTTATTGACTGGGAGAATGCGATATGCGTGTAGTTAAGTATTTCGCGTAATTACTTATTTGATCACGCACGCACGCACGCACGCACGCACGCACGCACACACACACACATATGTGTGTGTGTATATATATATATATATATATATATATATATGTATACACTTCATACTTTTTATGAGTGGCAAAAAGATATAAACGTTACGTTGATATATTCAACATTTCGTACGTTGTTTGTTTGTTTCATTTTGCCTACAATGTTATTATGCCATTTACATTTTCGTATTAGATTTCAAGATCTCGATAGCAGAAGAGCTATTAAAATAGCGTAATAGTTACACGAATTTCTCAATTTAGAGTGCAACTGCTGGAATATCTGTGGCAAATGTTTAGTAGCAAAACTTCTAAAACTAACGATGTAAAATCTGCATGTTGACAAATTTCGGATAGCGTGTGAAATCTCCTTAAAGGAGATACATGCACGATAGTGAACGTATAACGTTAACAAGTCGTGCTATGGTATCGTGCGGTGGTAAGCGACATGACTGTTCATAGCAACAACCTTATCCTTCAAAACTGAAAAGCAATAATCCTCACGTTACCGCTTAGCGGCAGAAATAAGTAAGGTGACAGTACTTTTCTGGACGAACTCTTTCACAGGGACCTCTACTGCTACTAAATTTGGGTTGATAATATAGAACTAAAGTAGCATTGAATATTCCCTGTGGCTTTAGTACAACGCTATACAGTGTGGTGCGATCGCCTGCACAATAGTTAATTAGATTTGACAGAATGATGGATGATGGAACAAAGTAACATAGACATTAACTCATTAGGTGTAACAAAAGGCTCAATATAATAGTTACCTACTCGATCGATAGTAAACATTGTATGAGCTTATAAGGGAAACAATATTGTTTGGAAAGTAAAAAATTTAGGCAAGCCTTTTTTTGTAGAATTTCTTTAAATAAGAATGAGTTATTTATTTACGTAAATTTCACGGAACATATAATTATCAATATATTTTCATTTTCTTAACTTCTTCATTATTCATTTAAGCCCGGTCCACACTTGTATCGTTTTGGCGTATTGAATCTCCATTCTGTGACACAGATTGTGTATTAATTTTGCTTGTTAAACGCTCAGCGCGTGTCACAATCACGTATCATTTTGACACGCGTCAGATATCTGGTATGCAGAATTTCATATAAATAGAAATGTTGACAGGTCTTAGGAGTTTGTCCGTAGGACAGCAGGATTACTTACCTCTTAGAAGGCGATATCAATATGGCGATGACTCTGGCGTTGGGCAGCAGTGCGTGCGCCCGTCGTGGCACCAAGTCTCCGTCGAAGTACGTGGCTGATTTCTCAAATGTCAGTTGGGTGCCGTTGTTCGGGTTCGGCGGGAAGAAGTTTAAGTACCTGCCGTTAATAGTTTGATTGATGACTATTTCATGGCATTCAAAACGGCAATCAGTGAGACGGCCCACCTTTTGGAACGTGAATATAGCTGCTCATAGACATTTACGATACTTTAACACGGAATACAGCAGTGATAGTTTCCGGTGGATATAAGCAAGGCGGTGGTACTTTCGGGTTGCTTAAGCGGGTTGATTACCACTGTAATAACCTGACACTCTGCGTATTTTTTATGCGTAGACGACGCGCGTTAACGCAATACAAACGAGATTCAGTAGTAGCCAGTATACTTTTGCAAACATTCACAAATTCAGTAGAGCCGCAAAAGCGCACATAGATGAAGAAATATTATTTGCACGAATGAATGTTATCTCTTGGAAGGGCTTATCTCCTTTCTATTACAATAGGGTAATAAAATCTTTAACTCGTCTTTTACTTAAAACATACAAGGATTTAACGATATTGGTCCATCGTACGAATCATGGGTGCGCTAAATGCTTTTTCTGAATTCGTTTTGAATTATTTCTTTATTTAACAGGTCGTTTTTTTAACAGTAGATAATTCGTAAAATGCCGACTGCCGACTCGATTCTTACTAATTCAACAAGTTATTTCCGCATAAAGATTTTTAGAATTTTAGAATTAAGTGCCAATGCGCAAAAGTATTTAAACAAGTTGTTTGCACTATACAGTTACCGAGACGGTTCACTTTTTGTCCTATTGTACTCTAAAGATGAAGCGATAAGACGAATCGGTGCAAATAATATTTCGCCAACTATATAATCTGTTCGTATGCGGTATTGACGTTTGCGGGCGGACGAGCGGCGTACTGGCGTCAGCAAGGTCCACTTTTGCCCCTTTTCTCAGCCTTGCAGCGCGATGTTTTTGTTGTTGAATCGATTCAAATTCGCGTAAAACGCGATATTAACGACCTTCGAACACGCTTGTCATAAACGCAACAATCTGCCTTTTGAACAACTACGGCGCCGTAAACGTATGTCGTCAGTGGCGTAAACAATACGCCATATGCATATGTTCAAGGTAGTCACCACATTAATCGACGCGGAATCGCATTATGTTGGTCAGAAGAAGCTGAAAGTGAAAAAGACCTTGTGTGTTACGCTTCGGCTCGGAGGACGCGACTTTACACAGATCGGTAACAAATCGGTTTCCTACGAACTTCTGATCATGTTCGTAGAGTGTCGACGACTGTGGAACGTCTTAACGCGATAAGCAGATAAAGCCGATTTTGCGTCAATAAGTGTGTTTACTCCCTGAGTATACTAAGAACCACGCTACAAAATATCTTAGGGCTGTCAAGTTAGATTTGCGTCCTTACCATGCTATTTGTGACAAGACTTACTTTTGTAGTAATAATTTCAACATATCAAAAGTCAATACTAGTGCAACAATTTCAGAGTCAAAAATAACTAGTCACCGTTTACTTCAGTTATTTTGTAAATTGCAGCTTAAATCGACTTTTTGATAAATGTTTTAATATTAAATAAATATTTAAAAATTATAGACTCGACGGGCAACGTTGAACATGAAAGCACTCGTTATGTTGGATCAAAGCGCCGTCGAAAATTACAATAAACACTACAAGCCTGCCGAAATAATAGAATTACACGAACGGGTTTTGTTCAGGTACCAGATATTCATTATTAGGGTCCTAAGCGTCGAGAGCGGGTCGAGTGCCATTGCGAAATTAATTCTAGCAATTGGGTGCCAGTTGTTTAAAATGTTAAGTTATATTCCAATACGATTAAATAATGCGAACACGAATCACGTACAATCGCACTCAGAAGCTGATTGGGTCGGGAATTGGAAATGGAACATTTGCAATAATAGAACGCCACCGCTCTTTTACCACCTTTCCATCCCCATCGCATTTCTACCGGGGTATAAACCTCGAAAAGTCTACAACAAAGTTTTGTTTACTTCTCTAATAGGAAATTTAACAAGCGTTTTCTTAATAAAACTTAATTATCGAGGTAATGGGCAGAATTTTTGCGTAACAAAAGGGGTTAGGAAATCAATTAATAACTTTTTCTACTCCTGTATTATAATCTGTCAATTATAATTTCATAAACCATATCATAAAGGCGCTCTTTTTAGGTCTGAACCCAAATTCTAATGTCTATTGTACTCGCAACTGAACCGAAATTATAAAAAAATAATATCTCAACGTATTATATAAAAGGTACCAAGGCGTAATCATTAAAAAAAGATCTTTAAAAAGAACAAAAAATATCAAATATGACTTAAACGCTCTACTGTCTCCTGATTAAAATATAAGCGGTACTTGTTCAATGACGAACACTTCTATCTTTTTAGTGTTTTGTTTTGTAGCGTTTGTTTGGCTTTCGTTGGAGTTTTTGTCGTGGATAGTTAACAAATTTAATAATTTTTAAATATCGATTGTGTTTCATTAGTAGAAAAAGGATTGTATGCAATAATTTCATAATTAGGTCTTAAAATCTCGTATTAAGCGCGATAGTTGACTTTAAGAACCTTCATTATGCAACGATTGCATAAAATACTGTTACAAATTGATTTATTGATTTTTAATTGATATTATGATGTTGTACTACCATGATATTAAATTATTTTTTTGTGAAATGACTCCAATAGTTAGTTTGTTACATTTATTAGTAACAAAGATCAAACACAAAGAAAAATTCCTTCGATCTGACAGGACTTGAACTGGTGTCTGTTTTGCCAATCTAAGGCACCAGCTCTACCAACTGAGCTACAGATCGAGTTAGCAGATCTCACAAATTTCTCTAGGATTCGATACAAATCTTTGTTTTTGATTTTTAACTTTATTTTTGATTTTTAACTTTATGGTTGATTGATCTATCAAAGTTTTAATTGTTTCTTGATTAGAAAATCTCAGACGATGTTAGCTAAGCAATTATATCTTTTCAAAGTACCACAATGCGAACATAAAAACTATTGTGAAAAAAAAAACTTTATGCTAAAGGTATAAAGTTTTTTATCACAAAAGTTATTGCGTATACGGCAAAAATCTGTGGTAGTGGCCCGTTTAGCTCTTTCAGGTATTCTAAGTCTAAGATGTTTAAATTAAATATTGTAATGATAAATGTATTGAAATATATATTTACAAAGAACAACCCCTAGAGTTTCTTGCTCATTCTTCTCAGGGGAATCTGCCTTACGAATGAGCAGTAGAGTTTAATCAGTGTGACGATTTCAAGTGTAATTTGGTTACTTGTGAAATAAAGATTATTTGACTTTGACTTTGATGGTGTTGATCGATCGTTAAAAATTACAAAATTTAAGGACTACAAAGGCTCCTTTGATTTCGGAAGCGAGAAATCTATTTACAAAGACACAGGAATGGCAGAGGGCAACGTTTAGCAGACATATTGCCGAGATTGCAAAACAGGCGTGAAAACAAAGAAAAAGTGCAAATAGGACGGATTTAGGTTTTCTATTTCTACACAGCATAAACAACGTTATAAAGAGCTCCGAAAGAAACTAGTATGCCACAAGACCTATTTTAAATCTATTTTCATTGTAAATGTCAGAGTTATAAAAAGAAAATAACTGCTCCCTAGCTCAAAATGAAAACGTAGACTTGAATTATGTTTTTATACAAAGGATGTAATTTAGAATGTTGCCACTAGCTCTTAATATACATAGTAGAACAAAAGTGGTTTGTTTAAATGATTGGAATGCGCGAAAGGCCGCAGAATGCGTCGCGGGATAGTTGTATAATACTGTATTATAAAATGTTAATAAAAACAGGGCACAAAATTGATATGTATAGCAATTATATAGAAGCTCAAGGTCTAACCAAAATTGAATAAGTCCATGCAGTTCTTGCTAAACTAATCCATTCTGATGTTAGGCGACTCGTGAACTAAAAAACCTTTATAACTTTGTAACACGGAGGTAGCAATTATTTAACGATATATAGCAAGTAGGTAATAGTGTTTAGTTGCCACTACGACCTATTAGCGAGACAGGGAACCAGTGTGGAATTAAAGAATGACTCACCAATCGAGACCTTTGAGATAATTGTTGTTGTTGAAGAACTGCAGCTCTTCGTAAGTGGCCGGGCTGGGAAGGTTCGGTACCAATGACGGATGCATTGCTAAGAACGTGTATAACGCTGTACTGCCTGTTTTTTGCGGTCCAATCACTAGCACTTTTGGGAGAGTACCGCACCACTTGTTTTTAGACCAAATTCGGCGATGACGAATGTCGTCGCACGGATTCTGAAAAAAGGTATACGTTAGAAAAAAAAAAGTAAGAAACCACACTAATTTTTTTACCACAAATGACATCACAAAAGAAAAATGAACGAAACAAAGTAGAAGAAAAACAAAACACAATCAAAACAAAAATAAATAATTACAAAACAAGCAACAAATTAAAATACTAATAAAACCCAAACTATTCACATAAACAAGGACAATAAGTATAAAGATATTTTGTGTGGTGCTAGCTGTGGTAACAAAAGGGTCATTAACTCAGTATTAATTGCTGGAAAACGCAATGCGTTACCAGTACTGATTGTCAAACATGTCTTTTATTCATAGTCGTTTCTTATTTTGAAATCATAGAGAAAGTAAAGAAAGAAAAATGTAATAATTGCACAAAAGAATGTTCAAAAATTATACTCTTCCAATGTGGATTTAATAAATAATACCATTCTAGTATTGTACTCTTAATTGAAGCATTGGGTGTAAGTAAGTAATGTCTTATATCTTTTTAATATTTATAATATGACTATTATATACTTTATTATTTATTTGTCCTGCTAAAAGAATCAGACTGTGAACTGGCAACCGGTACTATCTCAGTTTTGACAACTTTACAGGATGAAGTAAAAATCATATATACAGCATCTGGTTTATTAAATAAAAATACGTAGTGTACACACGTCAGTACATGAAGCTACACATATATCTTGTTACGTTGCACTGGAGGCGATTTTCCAACAAAAATGTGTAGTCTTATGTGCCATTATCCGTACATACATACGTGTGTAATAAAAATATAAAAAAACTACGTATTTTTATTTCATAAACCAGATGCTATATAAATGACGTAAACAATTTTTTTCTTCACCTGTAAAGTTGTCAAAATTGAGATAGTACCGATTGCCAGTTCACAGTCGACTAGTGTTATTATTATTTTAAACCACACGCAAAATAGGCGCCTTGACGTCGAGTTGCGGACACCAGCCCGTTACACCAAGTACCAAGTACCAAGTATTCTTTTAAAACAATTAGAAAATAAGTGAACTTGAAAATTGAAAATATATTTTAATCGTGCGTTCGTTTTATTATTGGTTTTTAAAAATAAATTATAAATCAGTCTTATTTACAAGTTACATTGAAAAAAATGTAAACGAATTTTTAATCATTTATTAAATTAGCTGGATTGAAATGAATCGACATTGCCGTCTTCAGCGGTTTCACTGGCCTCCTAGGTACTCCATGTTGAGGTCGCTTGTCTCACAGATTTTTTTACATTAAAATAAGTTTTTACAAACTGCAGGTGGTAATGTGTCCGAAATTCAAACGCACATTTATAATCTATGTCACAAGGGCGGAGCGCCACCTTCTAAATGAATGGAAATTACGCCATCTAGAAAGGAGATCGAAATGAGTTATTGTCACAAGATACTGGATAGTGTTTTACATGACTTTTATGCAATAACATCAAAACGGGCTTTGGGTGCCGAACTTTGCCCTTGTTGTTCCCAATGCTTTAATTCATACTTATAGTACAAATTCACAATCTAGTTTGTTTATAAGACATTTTCATTATTACACTTTTGTTACTTTTTGTTTCATCAAATAAATTCAGCTATTGTGACAACGGCAATAACTGGGAAACCACGATTGAATTTCACTCAAAATATAATTTACGGCAGCATTTCACTGATTTCCATATTTTGATGATATTTTATATGTTTTACGGACCAATGAAATATTTAAAATTGCGCCGAGCATGTTGATTCACTGAGGCAGACCCGCGCTGAGCAAAAATATGAGCGTATCAACAATCCGCGTAGTGCCGTGAGCTGTGAGCCGCTATAAATTGTGCCCGGCTGGTCATATTTTTCGCTATAAAAAAATCAATGGACACGATGCCCTCTCTTTATCATCATGTACTATACCTAAACACGAAGTAATAGTATTTTTCACTTCTCATGCTCTAAAAGTTAGTAAATATAGCCATACGTAGCGGGAGTAAAGTGCATCATTCAACCCTAGGGAGTAAAAAGCACCTAGTTTTTAATTTACTTCGAGTGACTTAGACAAGCTTAAACAGGCAGTGCTTGCTCTAGTTTGTGGCAAAAGATAAAAGTTCAATAATTGAAATAATATAATTACACCTATAACAACACCTGCAAATCATTACAAAAACAAAATATAACAATTAATAATAATTTAACATTCCAATAATTCATTTATTGAGGTTTTTTGTGTAATAACGCGACTAGTTTTGTTATCATTATGCATACAAAGATAGAACACACAGAAAAAAATTTGTCGATCCGGTGGGACTTTCCACTGTCCATGCTGCACCGTAGCATTGCTCTTACTGAGCTACGGGTCTAGTCACCGAGCCGTGGAAATTCTCCTATGTGTTTTTGTTATACTTCAAAAAAATTCAAGGTCCAGTTACCACTGGACCCGTGACTCAGATGGTTAGAGCAATGTACGGTGAAGCATGAGCGTGGGTTCAAGTCCCACCGGGTCGACGAAAATTTGTCTGTGTGTTCTATCTTTGTATTCATATAATAATTCATTAATAAATCAACCTACAGTTTGACAAACATCGCTACGCTGCGGAAATTCAATAAAAAGAAAAGTTCTTGTCTGTGGACCATTTTAGTGACGCACTTAGCACTTATATCGTTCGAAAGACGCTCATGATTGCCAAAAACCGCTAATCGTGGCGTTTTATTGGTTTGTTGTATCTGAATCTGGTTGGAAAAAAATATACCGCGAAAGTTTCAAAATTTTGGTACATGAGATAATAAATATATAGTGGTACCTTTGTCTACCCAAATAAATGGGTGAAAATTTATAAACAAAAATTTGGTTCGTAATTTTCTTGTAGAACGATTAAAATAAATAAATAATTTTTTAGTCGCTATCGACGTGAAAAGTAAAGTTTTCACCTCAAGACTAAAAACCAATACTAATAAATTCTCGGAGTAATAGATACTCTTGCTAAAGCTCGGGTGCCTAACCACCTCGGGTGTATATTGGCTCGCTTTAGTCTCTCGATAAAAATTATACTATTGTAAACTGTCTATCTGGCAAGCCTCGTTAATTTTTTTATGGTTCTTTCGAGGGTATAATGTTATAAAATTAACGACGAGTAAAAATACTACAATGTTTGTCCTAATTTCTTTAATAAAAATATATACTTTATGAGGGAGTTTATTTTAATTTTATTAGTAACCTCGGAATGAAGGCCCGACATAAAATGTAGGAAACGGCCAAGAATCGCGTGCGGTTGGTCTTTTTTTGAAAGTAAATTATCTTAGCCTGTAAGGAGTTTTAAGTTGGAGTATAAAGTTGCCTCGGAGCGCGGGAAGTCTAATTATCTATGGCGTTATACAATTCTCGTGCAGTCTAGCCAGCTCAGCCAGGTATCTATTTTTTTTTGCTGTAATATATTTTCCACTATATAGATCGAATAAGACTTCGTTTTCATTTTGCCATTTTTAAACATGTTGACCTTTAGTCTTGCATTCTCAATTCTCATCTCATTTAGGGCCGACATTTCGAGTACTTAGACCATATTGAAAGTTTCTGGATTCTGATAAGTAAGACCAGACATTATGTTTATAATACATTTATTGTTTTTCAAAGTATATGCCCTCGCTATTTACACACTTTTGCATTCGTTGGAACCATTGTGAAAAACAGTGGGACTTTCCATAGGGACCTCTTTAATGGCTTCGTGGAACGCATTGACCACCACTTCCGGGCTTGTAAATCGTAAACCTTTAAGTTTATTTTTGATTTCTGGAAATAAAAAGAAGTCGCAAGGTCTGAACTATTCGGCATCAGCTCCACATTTGAGGCCTTCAAATACGCATTATACTTTAGCGGAATGTGCAGAGACGTTGTCGTGGTGAAGGACGATATTGCTTCGAGGACGCTTTTCGTGAATTTTTTCTAACACTCTGGGCAAGCAGGTGTTTGTTTACATGCCAATCTGCAGTCACTATCCTCGTCTAGCGCTACAGTAGTTTTATGTCCTGATTTGCCGAAGAAAGAAGCAACCATTTTCTTACCAGTGCTCCGACTTTTCTTCGAAAATCATGGACCGAAAATTTTCAGGATTGAAATTCATTGTAATAGTGACTCGGGTTTTCAAAACGACGCGACAATGAAAAAAACAAATGACAGTCTCACAAAGTAAAAAGTAACCTACCCACAGAGATTACAAATTCCGTATTTGTTTTTTTTTTCTTTCTCAAGGGTCATTGCCAGGAAATTTCAGTATACCCCACGTGTACCAATCATCTTTAGTATTAAACATAATTTATTAAAAGTGAATACGTAATAGATATCTTATTAAACTACTTACCCCCCATAACGGGTTAAGTTCGTCAGGTCTCAGTTGGAAATATTTTTCGGCAAGCGCGAGTGGCGGCGCCGAAGCAAGCCGAACGTTCGTCCAGCATCTTAGGAACTTCACGACAGATTCAAACGTGTACAGTGCGAGCCGATCGTTGCCGTAGTTTGACATATGTGTCATGAACACGTTGATCTAAAAACAAAGAGAAAATAACATATCGACGCACCAAGCACGGAGAAAAAAAAATGGGGAGAAATCGGTTTTATCTTCGTGGGCCATACCATTGAAAGACACAATTGTGTAAGAATCTAAGAACATAAGATTGCTAGAACGAGTCAATTTTCCATAACGGCAACAAGCGATTAAACCGATTTAAAATTGTCCAATAATTTATATGACGTAGGCGGACATCGAACAGCCCTATCTATGAAAACTCAATTATAATCTAAAAAGGTACTTGTAACAAATTGATTCAAACAATCGCTTATGTAAAGCTTAGGCACGGCTAAATATCCTCAATAAATATTGATTCTGGACAGCCAAAACAATATAATAGGGTATTTAACTCAAAAAGATAATGTTGTTGCTGCAGTCAACCTACATGAAAATGCTAAAAGGAAACTTGAAATTTGTTTTTTGATATCTCAAATAACAGGAGAGGTATTATTGACCAAAGTCAGCGGCGGAGGAGCTTCGTCCTTTTTTAATAAAATAATCATAAAGCGTGTAGCTTGTATGGCGCCATTTCGGCTTCTGATATCACGAATTTGTTTTTTGTAAATGTATCTATTTTACAATCCTAATTAATAGCTTGTCCTGTACCCTCTTGCATAGTGCTCAAAGGGTTCATATTACTATTTATAATGTATGCAGTTCTATATATTTTTGAGTTTTCTTTAAAATTCATGGGACAGTGACAAGCTCCAATAAACTGCTGCCGACTTTACTTTTTATTAAGGAAATAATCATATATATATATATATATACACACACACATATATAAAATATGTATATATTATATAATTATATAATATTGAGTAGTTTAAACCACCACATAAGGCAGTAATATTCTACGGCTAAACACGGCCACGCTTGACTATCACATTACAGCTATTCTAATACTTAGCGAAAGACTGAAGTTCATCTCCTACAGTCACAGCGTAGTAACTTTCAACACATGGAAACATTTGAGGTGATTGTACCTTGCGTTGAACAGCCCAATAATAAAAATCATATTAAATATTCAAGATACTTACTGGATTATAGATAAGAGTTTGAAACAGTTCCCCGCCTTGTATGGATTTATCTAAACGTTGTCTGCCGCCTGGATACCTCTCCAGCAGTACCGTGTGTGTGAACAAACCACAGGTTTGTCTCGGGAGTACCATTACACCTCGGTGGCGGAACCCCCGACGCAATCTGGTCAATAGTAATTAAGTAAAATAAAAAAAGAACGATATTTTTTCTGTAAATAGGCAATGTTTCGTATATATACAAACCATAGAGTGTAGTTAGAAGACTACCACTAGTAAAAGGTGATGTTCTGTTACCAACAACTATATAATGTAAAGTGGTTATCCAATTTTTACAAGAATTTTAAAAGTTTACTCAAGAGTGAAAAGGTATTGTCGAATTCGTTTTGCTATCTTAAGTTAAAACAGAAAAGGGGTTTACACTTCATAAATCCGTTGAACTTACATTGGCATTCGTTACAATTTTGGTTGAAAAGAGTTTTTATTCACATTTCTGGCACTGGTACGAAATGGCGTAGTCTCGAACGGATAACGTCGCTCTTATGTAGCGATGATGCCCCAAGGGGCTAAGGCAAGAGGAACGAAAACTTCCTACACTACGCAGTAGGCGATAGAATGTCCGATCGATGTAATTACATTATGCCCATCTTGATATCGATAAAAATTTAGGGATTTTTCTTCGACTCATACGTTCTTCTGACTGTATGAATTCTTTCTATTGAGTGAGTATTTAGTCATGGATAAATGGCAACCCAATTGACAGACGTTATACGTGTTTGACAACATCCAATAACATGCCAGTTTCCTACTTCCCTTCGCAATTAATTGGTAGCAGTAGAGCTCCTGGTGAAAGAGTTCATCCAGAGAAGTACTGTCACCTTACCTATTTCTGCCGCCAAGCAGCAATGTGAGCATTACTGCGTTCCGGTTTTGAAGGGCCAGGGTGCTGGTGAAATTACAGGCAAATGGGACTTTTCAACATATATCTCAGGATGATGGGCGCAGAGGAAGTGCACCTCAGATCTTTGCGATTTAAAGCTCTGAATGGCACTGCAACTGTTATGGACAGACTTGTCGTTTACCATCAGGCGCACGACTTGTTCGTCCCATCACTTAGTAACATAAAAACGAGTATATATTACTTTCTAACCTGCAAATACGTTAAGCACGAACAAAAGCAATAACATTGATGTTCGTATAGACTATCTTAATAGCACGTCAAATGTATTAACTTACTAATAATTGCTATTTGATATCGAAATGCGTTAGTTACAGTATGCGGTTCATAACATTTAGCAAACCACCGAAGTGCTAGAGTCCAAAGCGCAAACAGAAGCCGATAACGAGGACACTTACGGTCAACTGTATTTTCGCAACCCGCTGGTGTTTATGCAGCTTAGATACGTACATGCGATTGCGGGTTGTGGATGCAAATTCTACTGTACTGATTTGTGAGAACAGCGTTTACTTCATGCATGTTTTAAAACTTTATATTTTGAAATATGCGCTTATACTTTCCCAAAGATCAATAGATGTAACGTAAAACAAACAGAGAACTTAAGTTTCATAGTTCAAGCTGGATGTTGCAAGCACATTTACATAACTACGTAATATTGTTAGTTAAATACAACAGTGCATTTAAGTTGAAATTGTGTTTTAGAATACTAATGTTTGCATATTTCGCTCGCTTAGTTATAATGCAGTTCGCTCTGCATTTAATCCGCACTCAGGCAGACTTTCTGGGAAGTCCTAGCATTGATAGAGTCCCTAGCTAGCGTGTACAGGTGTAACTTTGAATCGAAATTGCTGATATCATTACTACCTGGAGACAGCCACCGCCCGAAGCCCTGTGATCGAAGTTCCGCAACTTTGCTTTATGTTGTGGAGATCGATTTAACCCTTGTTAACTATGACTTGTCGTCGAGAATAGTGGAAATCCGCGCACGTAGCGTTGGTAAAAAGCGCGTTATTTGTTACTAAACCAAACTTTACAGGAGTGGATTTTAACGTTATTACTTTGTTATTTTAATGGCTACGACTTTCATTTTTGCACAGTAACCTTGAATTTATGTTATCTACGGACTCATAACAATAGATTCCAGTAAATCACCATTTACTTTGGTCACAAAATTACCGAAGTGGAAACTCATAATTCAATGCTAGTTACGCGTAATTGTACTATCCCCGACGTTATGTACGCTTTTAGTTGTTAATACTATTAGTGTGAGTTGTACAAAATTAATAAATAAATAAAAGAAAATAAATGTAGGTCGAAATAATTCAAAATGTTCGACTTACCTAGCTGGCCTTAAATGTGGGTATTCTTCAGTGCTAGTGACTTTCACATCCCAGACCTTCTTCCAAGCCTCATACAGCGGCTCATGGACGGGGTATACACCAGAATGATGCGGCGATACGGAGTAACTCGAGTTGGTCGGTATACCATGTTCGATGGTAAACTGCTTATTGAGCATCATTTCTGCTTCCAGTTGCGTTACATTGTTATATAAGTGAGGTTGTTGATGATTCCACATGTGGCAAAACCTATTGGGAACACATTATTTGTATACTTGTAACGTGTAATTACATAGCCGAAGTTAGACAACTATACGACGTTCTATCTGCCTTGGTGGCCGAACGGTTACAATGTGGGACTGACACGCAGAGGACCCAGGTTCGATTCCCTGGCCAGGAGAAATATTTGTATGGCCTACATTTATTTGTCTCGTGAGTTTGGGTGTAATTTGCGGTTGTCTATGTGTGTGTCCATGGCACTCGCGATAGAGGGTGTCCCTAAGGCCCCTCTGTTGAGAGTGTGCGTTATTTGTTATTTCTAGCAACATTTCAATGTCAATAACTTAGTCTTCAATATACGTAAATATCCATAAAGTTACTTTTTTATTAAAGTATGCAAGCGTATAAAACTATAATGACTTTCCTTAGAAAATGAATATGTGTGGTAAAAGAAAATACTTTTGTGCTTGACTCACCACAAAGCTAGCGCTTACTGCGCCCAAGTAATACTTTGTTTCTCATTAAAAACTACTTGATACAAGTTTAGTCGCAATTAGGGAACTTTAAGAGTGGACGAGAACGAGTACCGTGAAAATATACAGCGGATTAAGACAAGGAACGTTGCTAAAAAAAGAATCGGTTTAAAAAATAAGTTCTATAGTGTGTAAAGATAATATACAAACATTGCGGATTTTTTTAACGCACCCTCATAGCCCCGCACTAGGAAAACCCTGTGTCACTGGTGTCATGGACACAGACAGCCAAATTAAACCCATGTTACGAGAGAAATAAATGTAGGTCATACAAATATTTCTCTTGACTCGGGAATCGAACCCGGGACCTCTGCGCGGCAGTCCGGCATTGTAACCGTTCGGTCACAGAGGCAGTTTTTTATTTATTTTACTGTCGTTCGTTTATTGAAATAAGTCTAGCGTCGTCCTTTCGTATGCGTCTCTTATCGAGTAAGAATAATTCTGTTCGCAAATTCGAGCGTGTATTCAGGGACAAATGTATGGAAATCGAATGACGTAATAAAGCCCCACAAGTCGTAGAGGTACGAATGGGATTCTCTCTAGGAGTATTGTGTTTTTAAATCCGCCTTCAATTGGAAGTAGGGTTAACTTTGCTGAACGATGTGTTTTAAGACAGTCTTAATTTTGTTACTAACTTGGTTATTCGGATGTTTTAAGATAAACATAATTTTCGTACTTGATTTCCATAAATAATTTCATTTTATTTTATAAGTTGAATTCAAACGGAGTATAGTCTTTTACTAGCGTCAGAATAGTATCTATAGATAATTATAGACAGTACCTTAGCAATGTTTTTTTTTCATGTTACAAGGACACTCGTGTCCTGGTACGATCAAGTCTAAGAAATATTAGATATTTCTGATGTACGAGTATACTAAACTTAACAATAGCGTTTATTCTTCATAAACAAAGGCAAACTTACCAAGTAAAATGATCTTTATTCCTCAATAGCGCGTCATCGCCGATGTTCTCAAGCAGAGTGCCGTGATGATAATATTTTGCACTGTAGCCCAAGTTAAATCTGAAACCTGGCACCAGTCGCTGTAGCGCCGCCTGCGACGCTAACAACGCAGCTACATCTTCCTCATGTAAGCGTGTGCCTGGTGGAACAATTAACACACATTGAGTAAAGAGTGTACCGTCACGCACAGAAATCAACTACCCTAATATTTCAGTGCTGGAACATGAGGGTCTATAGATATTTTTTGTAACAAACGGAGGGTAGTATAGCGATCATTTTACAGTTAAATTTTAAGGCCCATAATCTATCAAGTATTCGCGTCATACGTATAAACGTTGCGTTGTTTAATCAACAAATCGTGTCGTTTAGTCACTTTTGACAGTAATGACACAAAATTGTTTTCGTGAAATTAATTATTAAAGTTCTGCATAAGTAAAGTTGTCTTATCAATATTGCCGTGTGTTTGTTACGATTTAAAAAGAGATACATTTAGATAAAAATTAAAAAACAAGTTAAAAAAAATCTAAATAAAAGTTATCCACATTTGGCTACAACAAACATTATAATACATAGTGTGCACTATAAGTTTCCGGAACTGGCCACTTACATACACAATATTTAAAAAGTAATACTAACATTTAATAATCTCAGTACAGAGTACTAAAAAACCGACCTCAAAAGTACGTGCTATTACATATAATTACCAAGTTCTAAGAAATCGGTTACCGGAAAGTGCGCAAACCCGGATTCATCCCCTATTTCGCCACTATACGGGACTTGATACAGGAGATAATAAAAACCAGTTCTCACTAGTCAAAGTATATTGAGAGAGAAAAACGCATTGAATTAAAGAATAATAAAATCAACCATTAAAATAATTGCTCATTATACTAAAATTTAGGCGCTATTTGTAAAAATGAATCTTCATTGCGTGAACCGCCACCCTTAGAAGTGGATGATTTTCTTCAAAATGAAATGGGACCACTATGGAGGTACCCTTTCCAACAAAAAAATAATCATGAAAATTGGTTCACAAATACCGGAGTTATCGCGTAACATACATACATAAAAATACAGTCGAATCAAGAAACTCCATTTTTTTTTAAGTGGGTTAAAAATGGAACTCTTTGGCAGTAGAATACCGTTTGTTTCATCTTACTGTCATTTGTTTTTACATCATTTTAGAAACTGGTTGTCTACATCACCATGAATTTAACTCATAAAAATTTTCGTAGTATGATTTTCTACGACTTTAAGTGTAATTTTACAACTCGGCGGAGCTTCGCTCGGCTTCAAACTGCTTTTGGGATGAAACACCATGCAAGATGACTATTTATGTCTGGTTTGCTTGAAACGCGGTCGTGTGAGTCTCAGTGACGAATTTCGTGATGGTCGCCCGTCCACTGTGTGAACAACAAAAACATCGCTGCTGTGAACAACAAAAACATCGATGCTGTGCGCGCTATGATCAAAACAGACAGGCATGTGACATACCATGAGATTCGGGCATCTTTAGGTATAGACATGAGTCAAATACAATCAATACTATACAAACATTTGGATGTGAAAAAGCTGTGCTCTCGGTGAATCCGACACAATTTCACTGAGGCTCAAAAAACGGATCGCGTCACTTGGTGCTATGCCATGCTTTTTCTATGCCAGATTCAACGAAGGGGCGTCAAATTTGGTGTGGGACATAGTAACAGGTGACGAAACACGGATTTATAGTTACGATCCCAAAACAAAGCCGCAATCGAGCGTATGGGTCTTTCGAGATGAGCCGAAACCAACCGAAGTGGCGCGCGTACAAAGTGCCGCTAAGCGGATGATTGCTTCTTTTTTTAATAAAACTGGACACGTGGCTACTGTTGCTTTGGAGAATCGTTGTACCGTGAATAATGATTGGCACACGACCATTTATTTGCCGGAAATTATTGACAAACTCCGTAAAAATAACCGTAAACGCGGTATCATCTTGCATCACGATAATGCCAGTTCTAACACGGTCAGGCAGACAAATGAATTTTTGAAGGTGAACAACGTAGACCTTATGAGCCATCCCGCGTACAGTTCCTACCTGGCACCTTGTGAGTTTTATTTATTTCCAAAAATTAAAAACCAGTTACGCGGTCAACGATTTTCATCACCTGAAGAGGCTGTCGAAGAGCAGATGAAAAAAGAGAGAAGAGATGAAAAATATGTTTCAGAGATTGTCACAGAGGAGTGGCATAAATGTTTTCAAAATTGGTTCATTCGTATGAAAAAGTGCATTAACACTAACGGAGAATATTTTGAGAAATTATAAATTCATTTCTGACCATTTCCGGAAACTTATAGTGCGCCTCACGTAAAGCTAAACTTAAGAGCTTTTAAACAGGAACGTCATAGACATATTTAAGCAGAGGTATGCAACTCTACAACGAGAATAAAAGCCTGTAACGCGTCCCAAATTGTGACACCACTAACTTCTTTATCTTCTTTACCTACTCCGTGCTAACTTAGTTTCGTTTATCTACTCGACATTCAGGCTTACATAAACTAAATAAGTCAGAAATAGATTATTCTAATCAGTCTCGGAAATTCCTGGCAGTCTAAAATGTCAACAAAATTATACAGTAAAATGGTAAGTCAACAAGTCGAACCTTATAAATGCGAGTCATAAATACTAAAGAAATAAAAAAAAATTTAACATGAAATTGAGCTTGGATTTTGATATAAAGAGTGATCACGTATACGCTAGTACACTAATAAAAGCTTATAATTCTTCGTCAAAGGTCACTTCATCCTCTGCTTCGGGAATACTGGTCTGCCTTTTCTGGTAAATTTTAAAACCAGCTGTGGAGTACCTGTAGTTATTTCTTTCATTTTCTAAAGATTCCTTCTTTATGATGGCCAAATCTGTAAATTTTTATATTCATAATTTCCATAGACGAAACCATCCTTTTCATTTCACGGTTTTCGCTTCCGAGTCTGTTAAACTTAAGTCCATTTCGTTGTACGAATCAATCATACCTGAGATGAATCATATTTTGTTTATTTATCTCGAATTTAAAATTTAAAGTCATTGGACAAGTCCACCATTGTCACCAACAGCTCGATTGGTAATAAGTTTCAACGACTCTATTAGCCTGATCAACGTTACCAAGTTATTTAAGTCATTCATTGGTATATAGGTATGGGTTTTTCATTTGGTGTGTTTATAGTACTATGGACGGTGTCGACTTCCATTTGTGAGTGTCCAAGTTGCATCTGTGTGATCGATTTTGGGTCAAAGACATCAAACGGTATGTTAAAACCGGATTTACATTTGTCTGACGTGTCGTGTCGTGACGCGTCAGAACGGTATCGGTTTCACACATTTAATGTGGTTAGATTTTTAATATTGTGTCGCAATCTGATGTGACGACTTGTGTTGTGTGTATAAAACCGATACCGCTCTGACGCGTCACGACACGACACGTCAGACAAAGATAAATCCGGCTATATTCAGGGATTTTAGGTCAGGGAAGTACTGTGACTTACAGACAGAGACAAATATATATTTACCACTCGTGTACCCAGCGTTTTATTTCTGAGTATCGAAAAACGAAGTTCTAGTGCTATTGTGCTCGGAACTAGTTAAGAGTCTTCAATAGCTAGAGACAGAAGAGTTCTAGAAGAGGAAGTGATTGAGTGTTGACGCATTAAAGTTAGGAGCAGGTACAGCTGCTCTACTGATAGCACGTTCGCTTCCAGATAGAGTTGCGATATTGGAAAAGTCGGGATTTAAGGAGTGCAACTTTCAATAAACATCTTTGAGCTCGTTCCAATATCATTAGATTGTTTTAAGTAGCTCTACCCCCAGACGTTACGCATTAGGTAATTACTTATTGTACTAGCGCAAGATTCACATTTCGCAAAGTTTTGCAGTCAGTAACTTGTCTAAGATTCGGTAGATAATAGCAGTTCATTTTTCGTTTTTTCGTTCGTTCAGTCCATTCATAGGATGGTGCAGGTTTTCGATCTCTTTGACTTACATAATAAACAACGAAAAGTATAATAAATAAATAATAAGGCACACACTCAACATAGCCCCGCACTAGGAAAACCCTGTGTCGCGGATGCGATGGACACACACATAGACAAACACAAATTACACCCAACTCACGAGAGAAATAAATGTAGGCCATATAAATATTTCTCCCGGCCCAAGAATCGAACCTGGAACCTCTGCGTGGCAGTCGTGGTAACCGTTCGGCCACTGAGGCAGTATGTCCTAAAATGGTTCAATATGAATTCGAGACACACTAAACATCATAACTGTTAACATCAGTCATAATATCAGGACAGAGTACTAAAAACACCAACGTTAAAAGCTCATGAATTACATCCATTTGCCAAGTTTTATTGAAAACGGAAAGAGTGCGAAACCGGATTCATCCCCTACTTTACCACCCTTAGAGGTGGAATATTTTCTTCAAATTTAAATGGGATCACTACCGAGGCATCCTCTTTCCAATAAAAAAAGAATCATTAAAATCGGTTCAGAAAAGAGTCAGTCGCGTAACATACATACAAAAAAGTCGAATTGCGAACCTCCTCCTTTTTTGAAGTCGGTTAAAAAGAATGGCAGTGTGAGTGTGATTTTTTAAATCACATTTAAAAACTATGTCAACACAGCAATCTAAACTCTAATAGACAGTTTTTTATAACTCTAGCATTAGTTTACTGTTCTATTATTGTAATGCTAAACCAAAGTTATTTTATAAGTTTAATAAGTACATTTAATAAGTTTTTTAAAGTACCAAGCCGTATCTGTTTTAACTTTCAATGAACGATAACACCACACCTGATAAGCGATGTTCTTCGAACACACAAAGTTATCAATATCTTCAAACGGAAACAGGTTTACAAATACGATTATCAGAAAATAAATAAGCAAATGAACTTAATAAGTGACTTATTTGTTCTGTTCTAAATTAAAATTTTTTGAGACTTTAATAAATAAACTTTACGTTGTTTATAGCGTTTCATTGGAATTTCGACGGAATATAGCTATTTTATTCTAGAAACTGGAGTTCATCTGCGAATCATTCGATAGGCCACACTTAAAATTTCATGTGTGATAGAGGCAACACATAAATCGCTTTCAATATTTCAATCAATCGGCAGGTCAGATTGTCTGATCAGTTAGCTCAGCTTTTATAGTTGTAGTTACTCGGCTTTAATTGGTTTTCATAATTCATTAGTATAGATAAAATAAAATCTCATAAAACGTCGGTATAAAAATTACTGTCCCAAAGTTATATGCACGACAAGTAATTAGATAGATAGATATTACGTAATTAGTATTTTTTAAATTTATGTCATTATGATAGATACTTAAATCATTTATGTCACTTTAAAATCCTATGGAATGTATGGGCCAATAGTAATCGTTATGGCAAATAGTCTTTTTGGACTAGTTTAAAAAAAGTTTTTATACACTCGTGGAACTGTGCTCCATGTATAACAAGAAGAATCTTTTTAGATATAAGAGCAAATACGAGGGAAAACATTAGATTTAAAACGTTTCGGATAAAGATAGAGCGCGTTATTAAAAGAGCGATTCAAAAATCACTCCATTTTCTGGTTTTCTCGGAACAAATACATCGTGGCCGTTGTTTGCGGCTAAGTGCACAGATAGACACGATCAATACGTCTAGCGGAAATCCAGTTATATTGTAACTTTTGCCGACAGCCAATATTGAACGCTTGTTTCATCGAGTTCATAGACTGCCCGTTTTTAATGCTTTTCCTTTGTTTACCCTTTTCGCTTTCATTGTATTATTAATAAGACTATTTACGAAGCAATTCGTCTTCATTATTTAAGAAAAAGTTAAAGTCATTCTAAATCTATTAGGATTTACAAATAATTACATCTAGACATTCGTAGTTCATTCATTCAGTCTTCTTCTGTCACTAAGATTGTTTATGTGAATCAGCATATCGCACCCCTCATGCGAGAATGGAGTATATGGAATTACGTCAAACATGTTTATTGCTCCATTAGATATAGAAAAACATAACCCACGTCCTCTCCAATTGGAGATTAGATACAGAAAAATATAACCTACATCCGCCTCCAATTGGAGAGGATACGGGTTATTTTTTTCAGGATTTAATGAGCAATAAACATGTCTGACGTAATTCCATTTATGCCATTCTTCTTCTTCTTAAGAGTA